AGTGTCCCTTGAACTAATGTAGTCACTTGAGTTTGATCCAAGGGAACCAACCTTGAAGCTCCAAAATCTGATATTTTTGCCGTGAAATGCTCATCTAATAATATGTTTGCTAATTTGATGTCTCTATGAATGATTGGCATTGAAGCTGCAGAGTGAAGATAAGCAAGTGCTCCAGCAGTTTCGGCAGCTATCCTCAATCGATTCTCCCAAGATAACTTGGGCATTCCCCCTCTATTGTGGATATGGTTGAAGAGACTACCATTAGACACAAATTCATAAACCAACAAGGGGACTTTAGTCTCCAAGCAACACCCTAAGAGCTTCACTACATTTCGGTGATTAACCTGTGTAAGGATAACCACTTCATTGATGAATTGCTCTATTTGGCTCTCATCCATTATTCTAGACTTCTTGATTGCAACTACACGATGATCATGTACAACTCCTTTATAGACCGTACCATAACCGCCTCTGCCAAGAATGCGATCCTCAGAATAGTTATTGGTTGCTCTCTCTAGCTCTTCGGCTGTAAAAACTTTTGCTGTCTCAGCACCACCCTCAGTAGAAGAAATTTGTTGCTTCATCAGGAAACCNGGATTGCAACTACACGATGATCATGTACAACTCCTTTATAGACCGTACCAAAACCGCCTCTGCCAAGAATGCGATCCTCAGAATAGTTATTGGTTGCTTTCTCTAGCTCTTCGGCAATAAAAACTTTTGCTGTCTCAGCACCACCCTCAGTAGAAGAAATTTGTTGCTTCATCAGGAAACCGCCATTCTGCTGAAAGAATTTCTCTCTGAGTTTGATGAGTTTCCTTTTCTTGATGATAAGATACATCCATGGAATTCCAATGAGTAATGACAAAAAGCCAAACCCCATACCTGCATCGATTTTTATTTTTCAAAAAAAGTTATTAAACAATTATGCGGTCACAAGGCTAATTTGTTTGCAATGGTCTACAAGGATTATAATGTCACTTGGGTAGGACCAACAAATATATATATATTTTACGTTTGATTGAACACAAAAATCATAAAAAATAGCTATGGTTCCGAATAAAAAACACTTGAGCCAAAAATTGAACAGGTCAAACTCTAAATAGGTTGATCAAACGTGAAATTACGTAGAAACTTAATTTAAATAAATATCTATGAGGAGATAGAGACTTAAGCATATATTAATACTGCTCATTATAGAAANGAATAAAAAATGCTTGAGCCAAAAATTGAACAGGTCAAGCTCTAAATAGGTTGATCAAACGTGAAATTACGTAGAAACTTAATTTAAATAAATATCTATGAGGAGATAGAGACTTAAGCATATACTAATACTGCTCATTATAGAAAACCACGCCTGCACAATAAAAAAATATGTTTTAACATGTATAGTTTCATCAAATATTTAGGTAGCTAGGTAAGAATAAAATATGTGGAACATTTGTATTTAAATAGTTTGTGACTTGTAAATTTCAAAGCCAATGGGGCCAAGGTTGAAATAGATTTAATTTTCAATAATATGGGATGTAAACTAAGTAAAAGCTTACCTAGAGAGAACTTAACAACTGGGAATTGTGAGTTCTTGGCACTGCAACCGCGCCCATTTGCTCTGCCATTGCCATAGTATCCTCGTGGACATTCACAATAATAACTTCCCAAAGTATTTATTTATTTATTTTTTTATGCAAGTCTTCTCGCAAGTATTTTTGTTGCAAATCTTCTCACAAGTATTTTTGTTCGGATCTGCACACTCGTCAATATCTGACAAACAAAAGCATCATAATACACATTGGTCACCATTTATATCCCAAACATACAGTTTTTGTTAAATGGGTTTTAAAGTACTCCATAAGGGTGTTTGTTTTGTGGATAAGAATGGTATTAAGAGATGAAATAGAATAAAATAATATCTAGACCCCACTTATACCTTATTTATTAGGTCGTNATACTCCACAAGGGTGTTTGTTTTGTGGATAAGAATGGTATTAAGAGATGAAATAGAATAAAATAATATATAGACCCCACTTATACCTTATTTATTAGGTCGTTGTCCCACCCATATAAAGACTTAAAAATAAAATCAGTTCAGTGCACAACAAAATAAAATAATTCTTTCAATTGTCATCCTTTTAGGATCAATCCAACNCCATATAAAGACTTAAAAATAAAATCAGTTCGGTGCACAACAAAATAAAATAATTCTTTCAATTGTCATCCTTTTAGGATCAATCCAACATTTTAGTTGTAATTAGACACCACAAACTTGCACCATTAACCCAAAAAATTTATAAACTTCTGTACCATACCTACTCATGCACCCTAGTCAAATCCTAGACAAATAGTTATCGAAGAAAAAAACCAACCTTGGCAGCCGGGGCTGAGGTAGGGATTGCCCTCATAACCTTGATTGCAGCTACAACGATAACCTCCAAAACCACTATCCGAGTCATTACAATAACTGTTCCCTCGGCAAGCATAATCATTTGCAGCTTTGGCTTGTGCACAACTCAGATTCCCTATCACCCAGTCGAGCACTATCGGGACAATAGCCAAAGTTTTGTTCATGAAGTCTGGATCCAAGAAATCCGATGCACCGCGAAACGTGAAGGCGTTCTCTTCCCCAAGAAACGCATAGCTGCAAGGATCAAAGGACCAGACCGTGGTGTGGTTCTTCAAACTAGTGAGAGAAGTAAAATAGTACTTTAGACCCTTAGGCATGGATGTTTGGCAACAACCATGCCAGAACAATAGCCACCAAGCACGTCCTCGGCTTTGGCACAGAGAGACACACACCCACTGGTGAAATTACGTCCCTCTGAGCCAGTAATCAATGCCAAATCGTCGCAGCAGATGACTGTGAACTTATTTACGTCCCTCTTTTTCTCACACGTTGGAATCAGCTGAAATGCAGAGATCCTTCAGCAAAATATCTGATTTAGCCCCTATTTATACTTTCCAATACTTGGCCCGAGTCGCGCCACGTGTCTCTCACTGATTCGGGTTCGTTTTTGCCCCGAAATGATTTATTTTGTACTAGTTTAAGTTCAAAATATTTTATATGAACTTTATTTAAAATATTTTTTAAATTTTTAAATTTTTAAATTTTTATTAAAATTTCATTTTTGAGGGTCACCGGACGCCCCTCGCCTCGAAAAACTCGACTATCTCAAAATTCGACGAAAATTGACAGGGCAGCTACCGGTTCCGAGGCCAATCCCAAATGNAATTTTTATTAAAATTTCATTTTTGAGGGTCACCGGACGCCCCTCGCCTCGAAAAACTCGACTATCTCAAAATTCGACCTTTTAACTGTCCCGTCGATGGCCAAGGCTCCGGTTAGGGTTTACCCATACCCTGGGTGATGTTGCCGCATTGGCGTTGGCAGCCTGGTTTGGTGATGTTGGCGCCTTTACTGATCGTGTACGTGCTGCTGCTACCGGCGGTGGTGATGGTATTGGCGGTGGTGGAGGGGTTTGTCTGGGATGTGACCAAAGTGAACGTGATCAGCCCATAAAAACATAACCAGCCAACGTGCAGAAGCATTTTTCTCTGCATTTTGATGGATGGGCATAGAGATATTGTGCCAGCCATTAATATAGACCACCTTACTATGCCAAAGAATACTAATTCTATTTCATTGACCAGAATGTGCAGTTATGTGATGTCCATATCCTCCATATATTCTGATATATAATTGTATAATTAAATACTTAGAGATACTAACAGAGCTTATTATGTTTTTTTCCCTCTTTATATATAGGAATAATGCTACATGGACTTAAAAAATAAATTTATAAAATAAACTCAACCATTGATTTCGCTGTGGGTTACANCTTTATATATAGGAATAATGCTACATGGACTTAAAAAATAAATTTATAAAATAAACTCAACCATTGATTTCGCTGTGGGTTACAACATTTATTAGGACCCACCATCTATTCAATTGTTGAGATTATCAAGTCTAATTTTTAAATTCATCTAACATTACTCTTATATATAAGGGTAGATTAGTATTACAATGAATAACTAACTATTACAATTTCTCAGATTAGCCTTTTTTCTCCCTTTGTACATACGTGCCCGTTGCATAACAAAGCTTAGCCTTGTTAGATATTAATTATTTTCATACAATTATAAAGTTAAATAAGCCATCTTTATAATAAAAAATTATTTTCTTAGGCCACTCTTTTTTACTTCCATATCTCTCGGTATACTTTCTATCCTGCCCTTACTATATATATATAGTTTGTTGTAAGTAATTTTATATTCCAACAACAATATACAATTGGAATAAGATTATATGCCGGTAGTTCACTGTTGATAATCACTTATTGAATTGTAAATGAAAATTATATTCATCAAATCAGTTACCGTGCAGAAAGATGAATAATGTCTACGTCATGCTAAATCATGCGTATGCAGAAACTTCCTAGTGCTAAGTCTTCAACTTACNAAATTTATCACTTATTGAATTGTAAATGAAAATTATATTCATCAAATCAGTTACCGTGCAGAAAGATGAATAATGTCTACGTCATGCTAAATCATGCGTATGCAGAAACTTCCTAGTGCTAAGTCTTCAACTTACCAAAGACGCATACTTTTTTGAGTGTTCACTAATTATTAACAAAATAGCAAGAGGGCTGCAATGTTAGNAAAGATGAATAATGTCTACGTCATGCTAAATCATGCGTATGCAGAAACTTCCTAGTGCTAAGTCTTCAACTTACCAAAGCCGCATACTTTTTTGAGTGTTCACTAATTATTAACAAAATAGCAAGAGGGCTGCAATGTTAGAATTGAAATTGATTTGTCGTCCTTGTCCGGTGACATATTAGACAAAGACTTTTGAGCGTTCTATAATTTTAGAGATGTTCCCCTCTTTTTTCCTTCTAAAATTTTAGAGATGTCCCCAATATTTTTTTTTCTCTCAATCTAGTGCATGAGAACCACTATGACTTCATGATTTGGAGAATTTCAAATATGCGCAATTTNATTTCATGATTGATGATGTGATGTTATTTGTATATGCCGTTCTTATATGTCATACCAACATTGAAATAGGGTCCCCAAAAAAAAGTATTTGATTATATTTCTGCGTATTTTTTTCTGTTCTATTAGATCTTATCTCGTCTATGTTATATTCGTGGATCTGTTCCTAGGCTTAGGCTTTTCGGTGTCCAAGTGTGTTATATAGACAAGGTTGGAAGATTATAGAATGTGATAACGTATATCAACGTGGATGAGTTTAAGGTGAAAGTAATGTGAGATGAGCGTGAATTAGAGCTANGTTAATTCTTATTTTAAATACTGAGCTGCTTTGACAAGAAGTAGTTTTTTTATTTTTCCTTGATAAATGGTTTTTCTCCTATGCCAACACAGCATTAATTAGACTGAATGAAACAGCTTGTGCAGATGAACATGACCGTCATTCTAGTTGCCCGTATTTTCTCTTGCACTGGTTCCTCTGTCCTGTGCTTGACTTGCTCATGAGTTAGGATGACTTTTATTTATGACTCAAGACAAGTAGATTTTCTTAGCGTGTTCCAAGGTTTCAGTCTGGTCATTTTTGTGGCTGTCAACAAAGCAAAGAGTTCCCAAAATCAGCATACTCCATATTGTTGGTTCTCTTAATAACTCCCATTCCTATCAAATTTCGGTTGGCTTCTCACAAAGTAGGTGGATTTAAAGAAGTGTAAAATTTTGTCAATCAACTTTAACTTAAATGATGATTAACCAAATTCCACTTGAAACGAATTTTTAGAATAAAATAACGTAATTTAGGAAGAATCAATGAAAAGATATCAATTAGGATAATGGATTTTGAAGTGAGATAGATCAAAAGTCCACTACGTTTAATAAATTGGTAGACCCAATGCGATTTGGGGAGATCTTGTATTCCCATAAACCTTTGATAAAACTTTGTCATCCTTGCATTTAGAATATCATATTTTTACACAATTCACAAGGTTTAAAAACAATATTGATATTTCATGATTGATGATGTGATGTTATTTGTATATGCCGTTCTTATATGTCATACTAACATTGAAATAGGGTCCCCAAAAAAAAGTATTTGATTATATTTCTGCGTATTTTTTTCTGTTCTATTAGATCTTATCTCGTCTATGTTATATTCGTGGATCTGTTCCTAGGCTTAGGCTTTTCGGTGTCCAAGTGTGTTATATAGACAAGGTTGGAAGATTATAGAATGTGATAACGTATATCAACGTGGATGAGTTTAAGGTGAAAGTAATGTGAGATGAGCGTGAATTAGAGCTACGTATATCAACGTGGATGAGCTTAAGGTGAAAGTAATGTGAGATGAGCGTGGATCAGAGCTATGAGGCTCGTGTATGATGCTACCATAAAATATTCAAGGAATTAAAAGAGTGTACACAGTGAAAATATAGTGATTCACCGGCTCAGGAGCTCGGCTAGTCCACTCTTCAATGAAGGTTCTTGCTTCTTTTGTTTTATTCACGATGATTATAAAGTTGCTATGACTTCCTATTGCCAGTAGGGTTCCCCCCCCCCCCCCCCCCCCCCCCCCCCGCCCCGGGG